AAACGCTGGCGTGGAAATTATGCAAGACGGTGTCGCGGAGTGCGGTTGTAATAATTCTGTTGGGCTGCGTTTTGATTCGAATGCAACAAATTTAAATGTTTCTGGTAATTGGCGGTTGCCGGAGTGAATAAAAATTTCCGGGCGATTATTCCATGAAATACCTCCAGTTACCTGGGGCTCGAGTTGTTCATGTTTCAAGAATGCAATGCGCATTCCTATTTTTAATCGTAAAACTGACCGATATTGCCCCTTTTTGTAATAGAATTTTTTTTCTTAAAAATGTTCTTTTCTGATTTAATATTCTGAAAGGATAATTTGAAACAGCTAGAATCCAATCAAAAGTTCTGCTTAAATCAGAAACTATACCTCTATGATGCTCCACATTTTCAAAGCTTCGCAAAGTATAGGTTGTGAAATCTATTTCGTAAAAGAATCCATTATATTAGTTCTCTGATGATGCATAAATATATTTTCAACGTTGTTTTTTTCGTTTTATGATAACATTTCGCTCTTCAACGAGTTACTTCCTTAAACTTAAATTGATTATGTGGCGAATTACAGTTACCCGATTTGCAATTTAAAACAGTTATGACGATCTGCTAATAAATTTAGAGCTGCAGCAACAAAATATTCATACATGCATGGGGACATGTGTCAGAATTATTTTTGTTTTGGTTTTATCTCTGCTTTTATTAATTGCATTCCACGTACACGTGAATGGATTATTGGTTTTATTTATTAGCTGTTCATTCAGTGTTTTTTGGTTTCTTTGATTTTGTATCAAGTTTCGTAATTGATTCATTTTTTATTTATTGCACAGGTCGAAAATTGTTTATGAATGGTACTGAATCGTTGTAAGAATTCACCTTTCGGTTTGAAATTAAAGCAAGGTGAAGAATACTCATTATGTAAATTACGATATTGTTTTTTCAGGAAACACTACTTAATGACTGTTCACTAAATTCACATTGTTACTATGAATGGGACTGTGAGATAACGGGTGTGCATTAAAAAAATTCATCAAGTTGGCATTGATTGTTTTTTCCTATTTGGATGACACCTATCATCGATAGACTGATCTAACCTCACTTTTTCCAATGTAGTAAAGTGAGGAGACTATTTCTTTTTTAATTAATATTATGTCAATGTTAACTTGATGAGTTTTTTAAATGAACATTGTATCGCTTCTAAAAAATTATACTTATAATTAACAAACTTGAATCCATATAATACATTCATTAATTATTTAGATCGGTGGAGGCTGTGGACGTTAAATTGACAGATTCTGATTGTCTCGGATACATTCAGCGGCCTTGGTGTTTGAAACGTCAAATTTTCGAATTTTTTGTAAATAAAAGTGCAAAATGGTTTTCTCCGTAGAACATAAAGCATTCATGATTGAGTCCTACTTCCCCATGAATGCATGAATTTTAACCAATAGCAGTAGTATTACACTGAATAAAAACGAAGTTGGTGTATATTCTCAGGTAAGGATGTGTTTAATCACTAGAGATACAGTAATCCCAGAACAGGATAACTCATTTTTATTTTGACATTCAGAAACAGTTTGTACCTACAGTTGTTTTAGTTATGTTGCTTCACTCTCTTTAGCCTTCTTTTCAGAAACTGTTAAACTCGAACTGGAAACTTTTTCGTCACTTTTCATCTGCTCTATTAGTTCCATATGGTGTTCACCATCAATTTGTCAATAAAATTCTATGGAATTTGCAGAGCTGTGTCCTGTTCATTTGATAAATTGCTGTTGATATTTTTTTTACATCCAGCCCTATTCTTTCTGCACCTTGTTTTGTACACTTTGCTATTTCGTTTTTCCCAAGCGGCATATTTTTAAACCATCCACTCGAAGTTGGAATTAACTGTCAAAAAAAGTCTTGATGTTGTGATTCTGTCAGTTCCTTTGGACATCAACTTTCTGAAGAGACGAACAGGGCACAGACCTTCATCGATATCGTTAGGTATATAAAAAAAGACAGTTGGGATCCCCGAGAAGGTTTCGCATATAAAAATAGAAGATTTGGCGCCCCCGAGAAAATTTCACATTAAAAAAAATATATTTAGCGCCCCGAGAAGGTTTTACACTTTTAAAAAAGACAATTGGGACCCTTGAGAAGGTTTTACATTTTTAAAAAAAGACAATTGAGAGCACCAAGAAGGTTTCACATTTAAAAAAATATATATTTGGCGCCCCGAGAAGATTTTACCTTTTTAAAAGACATTTGGGAGCCCCGAGAAGATTTCCCATAAGAAAAAGATATTTGACGCCCCGAGAAGGTTTTATATTTTTAAAAAAGAGAGTTGAGACCCCCGAGAAGGTTTCGCATATAAAAATAGGACATTTGGCGCAACCGAGAAGGTTTTACATTTTTAAAAAAGACTATTGGGACCCCCGAGAAGTTTTCGCATATAAAAATAGGACTTTTAGCGCAACTGAGAAGGTTTTACATTAAAAAAAATATATTTTGCGCCCCGAGAAGGTTTTACATTTTTAAAAAAGACAGGTGGGACCTCCGAGAAGGTTTTACATTTTTAAGAAAGACAATTGGAACCCCCGAGAAGGTTTCGCATATAAAAATAGGCCATTTGGTGCCCCCGAGAAGGTTTTACATAAAAAAAAAATATATTTTCCGATTCGAGAAGGTTTTAGATTTTTAAAAAAGACAGTTGGGACCCACGAGAAGGTTTCGCATATAAAAATAGGATATTTGGCGCCCCCGAGAAGGTTTTACATAAAAAAATATATATTTTCCGCTTCGAGAAGGTTTTAAATTTTTAAAAAAGACAGTTAGAACCCTCGAGAAGGTTTCGCATATAAAAATAGGACATTTGGCGCAATCGAGAAGGTTTTACATTAAAAAAAATATATTTTGCGCCCCGAGAAGGTTTTACATTTTTAAAAAAGACAGGTGGGACCTCCGAGAAGGTTTTACATTTTTAAAACAGACAGTTGGGACCCCCGAGAAGGTTTCGCATATAAAAATAGGACATTTGGCGCAACCGAGAAGGTTTTACATTAAAAAAAATATATTTTACGCCCCGAGAAGGTTTTACACTTTTAAAATAGACAATTGGAACCCCCGAGAAGGTTTCACATATAAAAATAGGACATTTGGTGCCCCCGAGAAGGTTTTACATAAAAAAATATATATTTTCCGTTTCGAGAAGGTTTTAGATTTTTAAAAAAGACAGTTGGGACCCACGAGAAGGTTTCACATATAAAAATAGGATATTTGGTGCCCCCGAGAAGGTTCTACATAAATAAAATATATATTTTCCGCTTCGAGAAGGTTTTAGATTTTTAAAAAAGACAGTTGGGACCCACGAGAAGGTTTCGCATATAAAAATAGGATATTTGGGGCCCCCGAGAAGGTTTTACATAAAAAAAATATATATTTTCCGCTTCGAGAAGGTTTTAAATTTTTAAAAAAGACAGTTAGGACCCCCGAGAAGGTTTCGCATATAAAAATATGACATTTGGCGCAACCGAGAAGGATTTACATTAAAAAAAATATATTTTACGCCCCGAGAAGGTTTTACATTTTTAAAATAGACAATTGGAACACCCGAGAAGGTTGCGCATATAAAAATAGGACATTTGGTGCTCCAGAGAAGGTTTTACATAAAAAAAATATATTTTTTCTGCTTTGAGAAGGTTTTACATTTTTCAAAAAGACAGTTGGGACCCCTGAGAAAATTTTTCATTTTTAAGAAAAGACAACTGGGAGCCCCGAGAAGGTTTTACATTTTTAGAAAAGACAGTAGGGACCCCCGAGAAGCTTTCACATTCTAAAAAAAAAAACATTTGCGACCCGAGACGGTTTCGCATTTTTAAAAAAGAGAGTTGGGAGCCCTGAGAAGGTTTTACATTTTTAAAAAAGACAGTTGGGAGCCCCGAGAATATTCATCAAATTGTGGGTGGGGGGGAATAAACACACATATTTTGATTAACAATTTACCATGCTCATTATAACTTTAAAACGTCTGTAAGATTACAAAGTATTCAGTTTTGGAATTCTTGGTTTATTCAATAACATAAATTGATTGATTCATTAATTTTTGAATGATCCTATATTCTTGGATACTCATGGTATTATTTTGGGAGGCCATGGAGGTTTTTTTTGTAAATTATTGAAAACAACTTTTTGATGTTTTTTTAATTTAAAAGAATCTTGAGGCTCTAGGTATTCCTGTTTGGAAAGAATTTGAAAGTGCTTTGGAGCCGCTAGTGTATTTTCTTATAATAATTTAATTAAGTTTCTTAGAGGAAACGTCATTTGCTGAATTCAGTCTTATCTTAACAGGTACTAGCCCCACCCACCCCCCCTCTCTTTTCTTAGAGCGTATATTATTTTCCAAAGTCAGTTTTATCTTAGCACGTACTATTACATTGTGGCCTTTTTCTAAATATAGGTAGTCATTTATTTTAAATCTCTATTGTGAAAAGATGACTACGTATTTTAAGAAAAAAAAGTCAAAATTTAAGCCCCACCCACCCGCCCTGTCTCAATTGTGCTGATTTTTTTTTATTCGTCATGAGCCAAGAGGGCGGAGCTTAACTGCAAAATCCTTATTTCGCTACAAGAACTTACCATGTACAACATGTTTTGGAGCATATTAAAACTTAAAGCCAGATTGAGATCGAGGCGGATGGGTGGGGCTTATATTGTGGCTTTTTTCTTAATATATGTGGTTATTTATTTTAAATCTCTCTTGTGAAAAGATGACTACGTATTTTAAGAAAAAAAATATCAAAATATAATATAATCCTTTTCGGAGTCTCTGTTCTTTCTCTCTCAGTAACTCTTCTCCAGCTGGTTGCCGGTCTTCCTCTATTCCTATCTGCTTCCTTAGTCCACTTTAGTGCATGTTTTGTGATGTCCTTGTTGTCTTTCCTTAATGTCTGGCCTATCCAGTCCCACTTTTTTCTTTTGGTTTGTTCGCTCATAATTTTTTGCTATGTTAGTTTCCATAACTCTTTATTTCTAATCTTTCTTGGCCAGTATATTTTCAGTATTTTGCGTAGACATTTTGTTGACAAAAATTTGTATTCGTTGTTGTTGTTTTCCTGTCATGGACCATGTTTCACTGCCGTACAGCAAAACAGATTTTACATTGCGTTAAAGATACGTAACTTAGTATTTTGCGTGATAGGTGGCGATGACCAGATGTTCTTTGGTGTTCCGAAGGCCCCTTGTGCTTTCCAAATCCTTTGCTTTATGTCTTCTTCCGTTCCTCCCTCCATGCTCATTACGCTTCCTAAGTAGCAGAACTCGTTTACTTCCTTTATTTTTCGTTGATTCAAAAGTAATTTTTCTTGTGTTAGAGTTTTTCCCGTTTTCATTAGCACTGTTTCAAGTTTTCCTAACATCCTTTTAATATCTTTTTCGTTGCTTGACATTAAACAGATATCGTCTGCGTAGTCTAGGTCTGCTAGTTTCTTATTGTGTAGTGGGCTACAGCTTATTCCATTTCTCTGGTTTATTATTTCGTATAATATAGGTATGGTCCAGACAGATATTGAAAAGTAATGGGGATAGTATGCACCCTTGCTTGACCCCTTTTTTTATTTTTATTTTATTTGTTAAATATCCGTGATGTTCGACTTGACACGTTGCATTTCTGTACATCATTTTGATGAGGCTTATCATTTTTTCCGAGATCCCCTTCTGCTTTAATATTTTCCACATTGTTCCACGCTTTATCCTATCGAATGCTTTCTCAAAGTCCACGAAGACGAGGATCAGGTTTGCGTTTCGTTCGATTGTCTCTTCTATTATCATTCTCATCGTTGCGATTTGATCTATACAGGATCTACCTCTTCTAAAACCCGCTTGTTCTTGTCTCAGAGTATTGTCTATTTTCTGCTTTATTCGTTGGTTGATTATATGTGCCAGAATTTTATTTGCTGTGGTCACTCCTCTTCCGTTCTTACATTCTTTTATGTCGCCTCTCTTGGGTAATTTTACTATTATCTCATTCTTCCATTCTTTTGGTATCTCTTTGTTTGTCCAGATATCCTCTATTAATGGTATTAGTAGTTCTATTGTGCTCACTGGGTCCGCTTTCCATATTTCCGCAGGTATTTCGTCAGCTCCTGGCCAGTTGTTATTCCTCATGTGTTTGATCGCTTCTTTGGCTTCCTCTCGGGATGGATTTTCGGTAATGATATTCAGTAGCTCGTACCTTTCCTCATTGTCCTCTATGCTTGCTGCTTCTGTTTCCATATCTTCTTCTTCAAATAGTTCTGTGTAATATTCCTGCCATCGTTTCACTTGTTCTTCAGGTGTTGTAATGAGTTGTTTTTGTTTGTCGTATAATGGTTTGTAGGGGTTGTAGCTTTTACTGGTTAATATTTTCGTTATTTTATATAGTTCTCTCATATTATTCGTTGCTGACGCTTCTTCCGCTTCTTGTGCTAATTTCTTCGTCCATGTTGCTTTGTCCTTCTTTGCACTTTTCTTTATTTCCCTGTTTAGCTTCCCGTTTTCTGCTCTTAGTTTTCCGTTTTCTTCTTGCTCTCTCAATTCATTCATCTTGGTTTTAATGTCTTTCCTTTTCTGTATAAGATTCCACGTGCCATCACTTATCCATTCTTTCCTTTTTTTGTCCATATAAGCTAGCACTTCCTTAGCTGCTTCTTGTATGTTTCCTTTTATTTATTTCCATCTACAAACTATACTTCCTCTATTGTTCTTACTTTTAGTTTTGATTTATTCTAGTCGGGCGCTCCATTATGCTTTGATATCTATTTCTTTCAGCTTTTGTACGTTGAATTTTTTCCTTCTCAGGGCTTCTTCGTTTCTTTTTTCGACGCATATTCTCATTCTCATTTCAGCAATCAGTTAGTGATGGTCACTGCTCACATCTGCTGACCTTGTTGCGTACATCTAATAAGCATTTTATCCACTTACGGTTTATTAATATGTGGTCAATTTGGTTTCGTGTTTTATGGTCTGGTGAGATCCATGTTACTTTATGATGTTTTTTATCTGGGAAAAAAGTGCCTCCGATTACCAGGTTGTTTCCTAGGCAGAATTCTATTAATCTGTTACCATTGTCATTTCTTACTCCTATTCCGTGTTTGATCATAATTTTTTCAGCTCCTTCGTTATTATCCGCTACTTGGGCGTTCTCTGGTCCCCTATTACTATGGTTACATCACCTTTGTTGACGTTTCTCATCACTTCTGATAATTCATCATAAAATTTGTCTTTCAGGTCATTTTCTGCTACATTTCTAGGTGCGTAACATTGTACAATTGTAATTTTCCTGACTGATGTCTTCATTCATTCAAAGGTTTTGTTATTTTGTTTCGTTTTGGTTTCGTTGATGTGTAAATTTAAGGTGAGAGAGTCATCTGCTCTCTGCACCCGAGAGTCCTCTTCCTTTTTATTCTCGTTTGTTTGTACTTCTTCTTTATTGACTGTACTCTGCTCTATTGTTCCATTTCTCTCCATATTTTGCCTATTACTTTCATCTCGACTTCCATTTCCTATTTCATTCTCATTGTACCCTTTTCTTTGCCTTGTCGTCGTCGTTGATCCCTGTTTATTGGTTTTTAGTTTTTTGGATCTTTATCTGGTTTGGCCGTTTCTAGCCTTTTGTTTGCGTGGTTCCATTTCATCATCTGTCCATTAACATTTAGTTTCTGGTATCCCACTTTTATCTTCGCGCCTTTTCCTTTTTCAATTCTGGCCATATCCCTGATGCATTTCTGAATCCCTCTTTCCGTTTTTGTTAGCTCTGAATAAATAAATATGTCCCTTCCCTTTAGTTTTGCTTTTTCTTTCAGTATTGTTAATTTGTAATTCCACTGTTCTGTTTCAATTATTATGTATCTTCCCTCGTCGATCTTATATGCTCTTCTCACTAGATCTTATTTTCTACTTCCACTCTAAGTTCTTCCTCCTTTCCTTCACCCATTGTGACCCCAGTAATTATCAAGTTGTTCCGTATCTTCTTTTTTGCATTTTCTCTAATCTGTTTGCTACTTCCTGTATTCTGAGAGATAAATCCTCTTTTTCATTTGCTGTTTCCATCTTCATTTGATCGATATCCGTCGCTATCTGTTAGACCTCTTCTCTATTGTTTTTTATCTCTCTTTTCATGTCTTTAATCTCATCCTTTATCTCGTTTATATCGCTTGATCTGTTAAATCTTTCTTAAATTCGTTCAGCAATTTTTTTATTTCTTCCATGTCTTCGGTTGTCTGGTTTCCTTGATTCGTTGGTTTTATTGGAGATCTAGCTATAATTTTGCTTCTCCGGAAGGCCTGTTCTTCAAAAGAGGTGTTCTGTTCGGGTCATCTCTTTTGTTTTCTCCCTGCTGTTTTTCCGATTTGCTTTTCTGTTCTATTTCTCTTTTCCTCAGTCCGGCTCTGTGTTTGGCTGTTATCGCTTTCTATTTTCTACTTGTATTTCCTCGTACCTTGACCGAGATCTTGATGTAGTTCTCACTCTCACTCATTTATACGTTATCGACTTACTAATTGTTGTTTTTTCCCTAATAAATTCACTTTGTTTTGCAGAGCGCACTTTCACGGTTTTTTCCCTTAACTTCGACCTCGCCTGCCTATCTTTTGTTCACCCTTCACAATAATCCTTATCCTTCCAAGATTTCGAGTACCTTGATAGACCCCTTGACACAACCGTTTTGACCGATCTTACCGTCCTGTCTTTTCAAATTAAAATTACAAAGTCTTCCCTCATCCGCTGAACCGACAACATCAAAAATAAATTCTCCGCAATCGCAAGTACTGTTTTAATCACCTGATCACTCCTTCCTGGTATTCTTTGCCATTAACTTTTTTCATATTTACGGCCCAGTGCTTCAATATCTCGTTGATCTCTTCCGTCTTTGTATCGTGCAAAAGGTGATGTCCCTTTTCCTTACAAAACAACAAAAATTGACTCCATATGGATTTATGTAACTTCATTATACAGGGCTTTTATAAATGATTCTAAGGGCGTAGTTGGCCATGGATATCAAAAATCCCGCCTCGCTGAAATTATGCCCGTGATTATGCATCATTATGACAGTTCTCACTTGTCACATTAATGTCTAATGTCATTTGTAACCTGTCATTTAAAGTTGTCGTTTTTATTATTTTAATGTTTTTCAAGTGCGATTTACAGTAATTTTCGTTGATCGAAGCTCAAAACAACAAAACAATCATTTTCAGAACTCTTGGTGGTTGCGTACGAAAATTTTGTGTTTGTGCTACGAAGCGAAGACTATGAAAATGGTTTATCCTGTTGAACAAGACACTTTCATCGTTATGTTTTGTTATCGCAATAGGATAGGATTTTGTAACAGCTTGTAAGCAAGAATATCTGGCCAAATACCGTGATTTAATAATTCAAAAAAATATCGTTAGAGGCTCACATTAGAGATGTAATCAACAGATTTGTTCGAACTGGCAGTGTCAACAAAAATAAATCTCGTGGAAGACGTCATCTGGGACAACTGTTGATGATTTGAGACGACTTGAGCAGAATTGAACAATTGAACAACAGGTCCAAAGTATTGACGAAAGGATGTTACAGAACATTTTTGAAATTAAAAAGAGAGTGAACATGTGCCTTGAACAGAATTCTGAACAATTTCAACATTTACTGTGATGTTTAACTGCAATAAATTTGTTTCTTTTTATCGTAATGACTTAGTTTTACTTTTTAAAAACTTGAACCGTTTAGGCAACCAGTTATACACATGTGTGTGGTCCATATCTGATCTTTGTCATGCGTCCTTGGGCATTTAGTACGGATCTCCGTAAAATTAAATCGGAGAGGCGGCACGTTTACATGACCTACTGCGACCCTATAATCATTTATAGAAACCCTGTATTTTCCGGGACTGATTTATCTATTAAATCTTCCCCGGAAACACTTCCAAATCGATGTGAAATTACGTTAGTTACATACGTTCCGCCAACTTTTCAGTGAAACATTTTTTTGAAACTTTGTGTCTGATTGTTGGACCTTAAATTGAATTTGACAGTATCTTAAAGTTGTCAAGAAGTTCCGGTTTTTGTATTAATCATCCAAATACCATTCGAACTATCCATTGACGCGATTAAATTTGCAAGGTTACCTTCAAACATGTTGCATTGGAAAATATCCCTCATGCAACCACCTCCACTGCCGTGGAAACTTCCAGAAACTTTTGACATTTTGGATTCGAAGCCCACTTCTCAGTTCCAAAATAAGGACTGACAACACTAAGAACGAAATGGGTAAGCCCAGGAGTTAGTTATATGACCAGAAAACATCCATTTTCTGATTATGCCGCATTTTAAAGAATATGCATTTTGCATACAATCGGAGCCTAGTTATGATTGACATTTGTGACAGGCGACGACTAGTAATCAATCATCACAACGAGGCGGCACACTTCAGAAATTTCAAAGCCCACTTCAAATGCGATATCTTATTTACATATTCTTGCACATTCTCAAATATGTATCTATATATCTAAGACTACACACGAATTACAAGAGTTTTCCAGTTGTCATATTTTTCACCCACTGTACCACACTTTTGACATTCAAAATATACCTGACGCCACGAACCCGGACACTTTTATGCAGTTAACATTTACAGCGCGAAACAATAGTCCAACCTTCCAGCCACACTTTCTTGCGTATCCTTCAGCAATTTTCGGAATGCCCGTTTTCTCCGGTCCGGCATTAATCTAGACTTGCGAAATTCACGACCGGGAGCTCACGGCTCACGTCCGATTAAAAGGGGCACGTGCACGGCGAGGGTCAGACCCGGCACGGCTATCAGATAATTCAAGCGAAATGCCGCGTCCTACCACTCATAACCTACCAAGACACGATTTGCCCGCTATTCATCCACAGATAAGATTTCGAAAAGTCCGCAATCAATTGAACAAGTCTGGGGAGAGGGGGCAGAAATGCATATTTTATATAAGTATATGAACTTTGTATTATGCTGTGCTTATTTGACATGTGACTCTGAAAATAGGGTATCGAGGAGCGCTATTTTGAAAATTTCTCTCCACTGTTTGGATTTCACGTTTGAGCATTCCCGAGCGTCGATTCTTGCTTCTACAGATTAATTCGCTCAAATTCCGCGTTCTGCCATATATGTCGTTGCAGAAGCGCCGCCTGCGATTTGATGTGTGCTGCGAATTCTTCACTTAATGTAATTATGAATGATGGCTCCTATGCGTTTAAATAAATCGTGGCATCGTAATGAAAAATTGCCACTTTGACATTGGCGCACTCCTTTAGTATTAATTACGGCGGACAGGCCATAACACTTAATCACGCTATAATTTTACACGGATTTTTAACAGATCGGACGTACTCGTAAATCGAGGAGTAATTACAGAGCGGGGACTGTGTTTTTTTAAAGCGAGATGAAGGATTTACTGGATGTGCAGTGGCGGCGAGGTGGCTGTTTATTAATTACAAATCGGAAACAATAAATAACAGATCGGCGAGGATCGGGCACGGATACTTTATGTTGGGTTTTCTATTACGGTAATAGTATTCTTGGATAATTAT